AGGAAGCTGACAGACTAATTAGAGATATTTAATAAGTTTCCATGGACAAAATATAATTAACATCAGTGTGTGATTCAGATATTTTCTTAGGCCTGCAGAGAAGGCCTTGAAGGCCCTGACGGCCCACCACTGCCACAACCTGACCCTGACCCCACCCAGATCTGTTGACAGAGACCACATGAGAGGGCAGAGAGCTGGAACTGGTCTCATCCACTCTGTCTCAGCTCATTCTGCCCCATCTTCATCCAGAAGAGTTACAGAACGCCAGCAGGAAGCTCGTAAGACTCAGATCTCTACCCCAACTGGAAGCTGGACCCTGGCTTTAATTAAAAAAACTGGATCCATTCTGAACTCTGCTGTGTGGATACAAACCACTTTTAGCTGTTTGTTAAACCTGAGCAGATCCTGATCTGAACAAAGCTTTCAAAGACACAGTCTGTTTTTGGCTGAGCTGAACATTTGAAGGCAGCATGTGCATGTATATGCTCTGAAAGTGGCATCAACTCCTTTACAGTATATTCTACCATAAACCTTTTTTTCCTGCTGTAGTTACACCAAACTGCCCCAGAGTGTCGCTGTAGTCAGGCTGTACTGCATGGCCACTGGTAAAAGCTGAAAGAAAAGAGTCACTAAAACATAAAACACAGCCCAAATAAAGTCATTACTGAGCACGTCTATATTCCTGGACATACAGTAAATTGAAATTTACACTAAATGTTTGAAAAAAACAATTTATGCCAAACACAGGAAAATAACAGAAAACAGTCACAGCAACAGAAAACCTCGTGAAAAATTATTCACGTGGCCAGTATCAGCCTTCACTTATTAGCTACTTTATCTGCTCCATAACGAGGTACAAAAAATACCTTCAACTCACCAAAAATTAAACTTAACTAAGAAGTTCTCAGGTAACAAATTGCTATTATTACAATTAGTTTAACATCTAATTCAGCTGTTACAAAAAACATCAGTTTAAAAATATTTCTCCAGGGAAATAAACAATTGTTTTCCACATTGATTTCCAAATATCTTTGGACATCAATGTGGAAAAATCTCAAACCAAAACATTTTACTATTTCACACTTGCTGTATTTCTACCCATCTGATAAAGAAAACAAAATGTTTTAAAGGGTTGGCTGGAGGAACTTTGGGGAGATTTCTTTAATCCTGCTTTGGAGGGGCTCACTGTCTGGCTGCTTCATTGTCATGTTCAGAGCCTCCACATTGGCTAAAGTTTCACTGGGCTTCATATGAACACTGTTTTCAGCAGTCTTCATGTTTTTTAGTGCCTGAGCTCCCCTCTGAGCCCAAATAATCTGCTGGCTCAACATAAAAAAATGGATGTAACAATTTGCGTAGATTCTTTAAAGCTATTTAAACTCAGCCATAATTGAATGGGTGTCACAAGGTTTATCTGGTTAGGAAAACTCATTTACTTTGTCACAGGCAACATGATTTTCTTTGTCCATTACAAGCATAATTAAGTTGGACCAACTTAATTTTCCTTGTGTAAAAATGACCCCTAAAAATAAACCAGCAGACAAAGATTCAATATGAACCTTTCATCTGCTTTGTGATTCCTGTTTTAATAAAATGCAAGCATTAAAATATCGGCATTTCAAGAACAAAAAGAAGAATCAGTAATTCTACAGCAGAAATGTGTCCATTCTATTGTTTTTCTGCTGTAAAACCTTTGATCAGAGCAAAAGAAAGAAAAATAATAAAACAATGTTTTTAACAGAGTTCTATGTCCATAACCATGTAAAAAATGAGGCATCATTCTCAGTAAATGAGGTCTATTCTACCATAAGTTACATAAATAAGTGTCAGATGTGTGTTAATGTGCTGGAAACAAGAGAAGTCAAAGCAGAAACTAGAATATGTGGTGATGGTTTGGATTAAGAATTGATTTTATTAGTTGGCAAAGATTGAGGGAAGCAAAGCAGTCAAAACATATAACTGGTTTTACAGTTGTTCTTCCGGTTTCTGAGTTTAAAGATAAGTCGGTGCCAGTTGAGGGCAAGTCTTGGTAGATTTTGTTTCTCATAGCTAGAGTTTTATCATTAAAGAAGCTCATGAAGTCATGACTAGTGAGAGCTATGGGAGTACTTGACTGATTTATACATTTTATAAACGAGAATCAGTGACGCTTAAAGAGAATGCAGACAGCAGTGCCTGATATTTTGTTAGATCATCTGGATTTTGGGATTTTTGCCATTTCCTTCTGAGAGGCTCGGGCAGGTTTAGTGGATAGCTTGTCTTTGGGTAGAAAAGATGCTGTCAATTGCGTTGAGAGACCAGCCGACCAAATCCATGGTTGATGTTAGGCTTTAGAATTAAAATAAGATTAAAAGACACATTAAATGATGAATAATTGAAATAATAATAACCGTCCTGCTGGAGTCTTTCTCCAAAGCCTCCTCTGACACACTGATCCAGCTCCACACCTTCAGCAGCTCATTGGCTGCAGATCCTCTGCTTCCTGGTTCAGCTTCTGCTTTACTGCTGCTTCCTCTGCCTCTGTGTGCTGCCTGTAGATAGCCTCCTCCAGCCCTTTACAGCCTGGAGCTGCTGCCCCGGGGGTTTGTATTAAAGAAGAGTCTTAGCCTGTGTCTGAGGAAGCAAGGGATCATTTTATTGAGAGCAAACTTCATCAGGTGAGAGCGTCCACCATGCCGACGTGCAGAGCAAGACAACACCTGCTACCTCTCAGAAAGCTGAGAATAACAGGAGACCATAACCAAGAGAGCTGAGCATGTGACCAGAGCCAAATGTCTCCGTCACAGCTGCGTTCTTCCAGGATCCAAACGGCGTTTCTCCAGTGGAAGCCTCACTTGTTGTGTTTCTCTGGTGAAGCTTCAGAGCATTCAGCTCATGTCAGCTGCTGCTAGTTTTCTGCTCATGAAACAAACTGTGAGGATCCTCACTGTTCCAGAGAGGGCCCCACATGTGGAAAGAACCAGTCCTGGGCAGCTCCCTGCCCTCCAGCATCCATTCCCTCTCTCTGAGGCAGAGACATTTCAGCCTGGTCCAGAACTTAACTGACCTGTTGAGGGGTCAGAGCTAACTGTAAAAATAACAGCTTTTGTAAAATCTCAACTGTCCTACCAAAGATGAACCTCTTGGTGAGCTTTAAGGTAAGAAACAGATCTGCTCTCCTTACAAACTTTGAAGCAGGGGGGAAAATAGCTGTTTTATTTGAATTATCAGAGAGTTTAAATATGTTTTTAAAAGAAAGAGCAACAGGGTTTCCTTGATAATAATCAAAACTGCTTATTTTCTTCCATCAACAGCTGTGACATAGCTCTGCTTCAAACTTCTCTCTAGGATGAAGAGTCTGAGGAAACAATGTCTGCTGCCTTCACAGACGGGGGTCAGGAAGGCCTATGGAGGCAACATGTTGTGTTACTGATGGTTCACTTCCCATTTCTGAACATTCTGGTGAGGCATTCAGCCTCCTCTGAAGTGTGAACACATTGTCCTTGTTAGCAGAGCGTGGCTGGGCAGCAGCAGGAGGGTCCCTCAGCTTCCACTGCACAGAAAGATGCTCAGTAACTCCAGAGCCTCATTCTGTGACATTCAGATGCAGCTGTGTGATTTAACGTCCTCCTGCTGGATCCCAGCCACCTGTTAAAGGACTGAACAGAATTCTCCAAAAAATGTTCTACTTTGTGTTCCAGATTAGGAGGATCTGTAAAATAATAAGGCCCAGTTTACTAAAAACTCTGATGTAAGGTTCCTGAGTTCACATGTCAAACAGCAGACATTCAACCACTTATGCAGGAAAGCCTCTATAAAGTTACACTATGGTGTGTTGTTTCTAAAATCTAAGAGCCTAAAATTGATTTGATGTGTACCAGTCACGACCTTCCCATAATGCAAACGTTCAAACTGGATACACATAAGATTTACTTCATGCTCTAGTTTGTGTTGCACTGGAAGCAGCCTGAATGTCATCAGTTTTGTACTGAATGGCTCTCACTCTGGTATTGAGAGGAGACTGGGTGGCCATCACCAGCAGCATTGTTCACTATAATGGGGACAAAGCTCTTTGCTCACAGTATCTTTTTGGTTTGTTGTGTCATCTATGCAAATCCATGTTTTTTTTATGAAAAGGGTCACACACAGGTCTGAAAAGAGCAGAGAAAAAGAACATCAACATCTAAATATGTAAAACCATTCACTAATTTTGTTATTCAGCCATGAAGACCATTCACAGAAAACAATCATAGAATATTTACAGTACACAGAGCTTCATCTTCACATGTTTAGGGTAAACTGTACAACTGTACTTCGGGTTCAGTGATTTAAAAAAAGTGATCAAAAATCATTTTGGGTCAGAAGGTTGAAGATGACCTGGGCCTGTTGCACATTAATGTACAGAGGAGAAAGCTTTTAAATGGCTCGGAGCAATAGAAACAACATGCATGTCAGCGCATGTGCCTAGACTCACAAGTCTAAAATGAGCCTAACAAATACAAATTTAACCCAAGGCTAGATTTATTATTGAAATGACCGTATTAAAAGTCTGTTTTTACTGAGTTTCACATTCCCATGAGCACCTGGGAATGTGTTCATCTGAAATGCTACACAAGATCTGGATGGAAATCACAGCTTTCATTTCCCATCATGCATTGTTGGGGGCCTGCACAGTTATTGTAGCCTTCAGAAAAAGCTTTGAAATGAATTGATATGGTAATATCTAGTCAACGTATTCTATTGAGTGGGAGCTGTGTGTTTGCTCCATTAAATACGTTATGATGGCTGCGGTGTGGGTTTAACACATAGAACAGGGCCTCCTTATGACATCCTCAGATACATCTGATGCTGAAAGTTGGGCAGGTTTAAGAGAATCCTCTGGCTCAGAAGAACCTCTGAGGTCCAGATCAGATCAGAGGGGGGGTTCTTTGGGGTCTCCTCCCTCTGGTGCTGCTGTTGATGTAAAGAGTTCCACTTTGAGCTGTGTAACCTCTCTGCTCTGTGTTATTTCCTCTCTGCAGGGCAGAAAATCAACAGCTGAAGCTGGACAGAAGGCCTGGATGACATGTGGAGCTGGAGAGGAGAGAACCATCCCAGCTTTAGAACGCTCAGACCTGATCTGAGGCCAGATGTTGTTGTTTTGTACAGAGATGGTCACTTTGAGTCAGACCTTTAGGAACCGGGAGGATCTGCAGGACAGACAGATGAAGGATGGAGACGTGTCTCTGACTCTGAAGGATGTGACCATAAATGATACAGGAACATATCAGTGTAGAGTCAGTGAGACACAAGAAAGAAACAGAGAAATGTTCAAGAAACCACCTTCACCATCCATCTGGACGTAGCTCCTCCCCCTCCAGGTGAGTGTGTGTGGCTCAGAGCTGCAGCAGCTTCCTGCTGGTTGATGGTAGAGTGGAACATCTCAGATCAGGTGTTTGTGTTGTAAAGATGCTGCTGATGAGACTCTGCAGAAAGCAGCTGGTCTGAGTGCAGTGATCAAAGGGCAGGAGGTCATGTGGGACAGAAGTTTGAAGAGGAAATGGACTCTGTTGTTCTTCAGTCATCAGCTGCTGACGCTGACACTCACACCTGCTTCTCACCTGCAGGGACCGAGGAGAGAGGAGGCAAGGAGGGAGGAGGCTAGGATGCATCTATTGGACTGATGGGTGACTTCCAGTTTCTGTCATCTGTGGATTTGTTGTTGCTGCTTTGATCTGTTCCAGAAAACCTGTCTGTTTACAGAGGAACCGCAGCATCTTCTGGTGGAACAAAGAGAATATCAACTCAAGGAAGATAACTGACAACAGTTTCTGTGGTGTAGTGGTCATCACATTCGTCTCACACACGAAAGGTCCCCAGTTCAAAACTGGGCAGAAACAGGCTCAGTTCTTGCTCACTTTCAAAAGCTTTGTTACTGTAGTCATAACGGGTTTCATAACAGGTTCCATCTTTGTGGCTTTCCCACTCAGGCCTATTGGTGTGTGATACAGTGATACACAGTCAGCTCACTAGCACAGTTCTCCTCCCTCATCTTCTCCTGAACCCTGCTCACCTGTATAACTCACCTTTACTGCAGCCTCACTTTGTATGTAAACATATTTTGTTGTGGAACCAGACTT